ATAAGTTAGCTAAAATATTAATTAAAAGACAACTGCACTTGGAATACAGTAACTTTACATTAGCAGGTAATTTCAGTTAAGTTGCCTTTGCTTTGTTTTGCAACTGACAGCTATTATTTTTTTTGTCAGTGTGTTGCATGTCTAATTATTTATTCATTGTTGTTGCATATTGACAGAGAGATACTGTATTCTGTGATAGGGTATTTTGCACAGTGATTTTACTGTATACACCATTTTGTCAGTCAGGCCATTGCTTTTCAGTTTTATGTCCAGTCTTGCTCAAAAGCTTCTGCTCTAAATTGTTTTGCCTCCCTCCTGCTTTCACATTAGCACTTTTTGCAGGTTTTTTGCAGCGTTTGCAGTGGAGGGCTGTTATCTCAGCAGTTATTTGTCACAGGAGTCCGACAGCACTGATGCACACTTCCTGTGCTCTCTCTCTCTCTAGCTCTTCTGTCCTCGTGGTGTGAGGAGCTGGGACGCCTCCTTCTCCTCCGTCACCAGAAGAACAGGCAGAACGAGCCTCCAGGAAAAGTGTCCATGCAGCCCCCTATGAGCTCCATGAAGCCCAGCCTCTCACATGGGTCAGTGTTCCCACTTGCTGTGCTTAGCTTTTTGGCTTATGTGTGAGGTGTGACTTGGGTCTTAGGGAAATGTAGGTAGGTAGGTAGTACTTTATTGATCCCACAATGGGGAAAGCCCTGCCTCTCCACATGAAGCCCTGTGTTCCTTATGGATCAGTGCCAAGACTAACTGCTTGCAGCACAGTCGGTAGGAACAGTCAGTCTGTCACAATGCAAAATGTTAATAATTACAGCAGTGTTTTTGTTTTATAATCCTAACAATAAAACCTTGTCTTTCCTTAATGTTCATCAAATTCAAATACACTTTATATGGCTACTACTGTGAGTGTACATGACAAATATTTGTGCAGTTTTGTTTGACTACGTGATGTGTTTTTGTCCCCTGCAGAGATGGGTCTTTTCCCTACGACTCAGTTCCCTGGCAGCAGAATACCAATCAGCCTCCAGGTTCGTTGTCTGTGGTGACCACTGTGTGGGGTGTGACCAACACCTCACAGAGCCAGGTGAGAGAAAAGAGCAGTCATACACGTTCTGTACATTCAGCTTCTCAGCTGTTTTGAACATCTTCATAAAGTATTCATCATTTACTAATGTTTATGTCACTGTCCAACAGGTGTTGGGGAATCCAATGGCTAACAACAACAATCCCATGAACCCTGGGGGTAACCCTATGGGCTCAGGTATGTCTAGTAGTAATCCAGGTATGAACTCATCTCAGTTCCCTGGCCCTCAGCAGCAGTTTCCCAGCAAAGGCAACTCCAACCAGGGCTACATGCAGCAGGGCATGTATGGAAGACCCAACTACCCCGGAGGAGGAGGTTTTGGTGGCAAGTAAGTGGGCATTGAAGTGATTAAACTTGCTTTCAAAGAAGTAATTCTGGCAATCATTTAAATTATCACAATCCTTCAGCACATGGGTTTGAGGACATTTCTCATATGGTGCTGATCTTCTCATAGCTACCCTGGAGGGCCTAATGCTGGGCCTGGTGGAATGGCTATCCCTCCACACTCCCGTCCACCTTCAGACTTCACTCAGCCTGCCGCTGCTGCCGCCGCCGCTGCTGCTGCAGCTGCTGCTGCCACCGCAACTGCCACCGCTACAGCAACTGTAGCTGCCCTGCAGGAAACCCAGAACAAGGACATGAACCAATATGGACCGGTATGACAAGGGACACAACTGATAGCAACTGTGTAATAGCATCTGTGTTTATAAAGGAAATTATTGCATTTTTGTGCACATCACACACTACTTGGGATTCTGGTTTATGCTCACTGACTCTGACATTGTAATAACAGCACTTGAACAGGGAGCTGAGAGAAGTGGATTTAAGCTTATTGTTGAACAAAGCTAAATCAATATGAATGATAAATACTGTGCCCAGGCAGACTACTCAGACGAGCCAAATAACTTGTTTATCTACGACAAAAGCTAAGAGTAACAGGATAGAATGATTTTGACTTTGGTAAGTTAGAACATTTTTGTGTTTTGTGATCCATAACAGCAAATTTGTAGCACTGACAATCAACTCAGAGATGGTTGACTGAACCCATTTTGTCTTCTAGATGAGTTCGTCTTTCCAGATGGGACCAAACCAGGCATACAACAGCCAGTTCATGAACCAGCCAGGACCTCGTGGGCCTCCATCCCTCTCTGGGAACATGGGCACAGGCATGAATGCATCCAACATGAGTGGGCCCCCAATGGGAATGAACCAGCCCAGAGGCCAAGGCATGGGACCTTTTGGGGCCCATGGCCAAAGGATGCCTCAACAAGGCTATGCAGGACCCCGGCCTCAAGGCATGGGTATGCAGGGCATGAAAAGGCCATACCCAGGGGAGGTGAGCAGACGCAAATGCAACACTTTTACTGTCAAGATTTTGTTTCTTTTTACTGTGTGTTGAATATATGCCTGTCAACACTGCATCTGCAGCCAAACTATGGTGGGCAGCAGTATGGACCAAACAACCAGTTCCCTAATCAGCAGGGACAATATCCCACGCCCAATGCCTCCAGGCCACTGCCGTCTCCTAACTACCCTGGACAGAGAATGCCAGGACAGCAGCTGCAGGGCCAGTACCCTCCACCCAGTGGTGCCATGGGCCAGTACTACAAGGTGCACTATGACTGTTATTCTCTCACATTTGTAGGATTATTTACAGGGAATTGTATGCAACTTTAGCAAAGTGTCAGAAGGTGTACCAAGACAAACCGTAGTGGTTTGGAGAGGAACATTATTTTTACCTATTTTATCAAATTACAGCAAGAACCACCGTTTAATGGCCAAACAAATAACTTCTCTGGGAGTGGATATCAGTACAGCCAGGGTAATATGAATGGGGTAAGTTCATTTTTGTACTAATTTAGTTTTGTCACATTAGAATTCTTTTGATTGTATTGTTTATAGTCCTGTGAACATTTGATTTACTAACTGATTGTCTTCACTATAGCCGCCAAGACCAGTGGGTAACTACCCTCACTCCCCAGTGCCAGGTAACCCCACCCCTCCAATGACCCCAGGAAGTAACATCCCTCCATACCTGTCGCCAAACCAGGATGTGAAACCACCCTTCCCTCCTGACATTAAACCAAATATCACTGCTCTCCCTCCACCTCCAGGTCAGTAACTGGTAAATGATCAGAGGAGAAAAACCTGGTTCACTCTCTCAGGATCTCATGTCTGTCTGACTGACACTGTTCTCTACCGGCACAGCCAGCCACAATGAGGAGCTACGTCTGACATTCCCAGTGCGGGACGGGGTAGTCCTAGAGCCCTTTCGGCTAGAGCATAACTTGGCTGTCAGTAACCACGTCTTCCACTTACGGCCCTCTGTACATCAGACACTCATGTGGAGGTAAGACATCATGGACTCAATCAATATGTAGTACATTTTTAGATATTCTACCCAGATATTTATGGCTTTGAGAGCTTCATAATACAGTAGGTTGTTTTTCCCTATTGCAGTGGTCTCTTTTTAACAGCTGAAATTACAGAATCAGTATTAGAACTAGAGATGGCAGTTTCTTTGGCTACATCGGCAAATATAGTGTTGCTGTTTTTGCTATGTGCTAAACAACATCACACTTTTCTGTGCAGATCAGACCTGGAGCTGCAGTTTAAGTGCTACCACCATGAAGACCGTCAGATGAACACCAACTGGCCGGCATCGGTCCAAGTCAGCGTCAACGCCACACCCCTCACGATCGAGCGGGGCGACAACAAGACCTCCCACAAACCCCTGCATCTAAAGCACGTATGCCAGCCAGGAAGGAACACGATCCAGATCACAGTCACTGCCTGCTGCTGCGTGAGTGCACAAATCCCAGAACTAATAAAAAGAGGTTCATACAAATCCTGACACAAAGAAATAGTTGCCAGGTAAATATAATGTAGATGTAAAGAATCTGCCTGGAGATGACTTTGAATACTAAAGCTTAGAACAAAAAAAAAGATCCATAATAAGCAAATAAACTGCAAACCCAATACTGTACACCTTAGAGAGGATGTTTGTGGTAGTAATTACATGTTTTCCTGCAGTCCCACCTGTTTGTGCTGCAGCTGGTCCACAGGCCCTCAGTCCGCTCTGTCCTCCAGGGCTTGTTGAAGAAGAGGCTTCTTCCTGCAGAGCACTGCATCACTAAAGGTATTCACACAAGAACACAGTCACATTTTGCTCCCAAAGGTCCTGATTTGTTCTCAGGGTCCTTACTTGCCCACGATATTTCTCTTCTTCTGATTTAAAGTTAAGAGGAACTTCAGCAGTGTAGCAGCATCAACAGGCAATGCCACACTCAATGGAGAAGATGGTGTGGAGCAGACAGCCATCAAGGTTTCCCTCAAATGTCCGATCACCTTCCGGCGAATACAGCTTCCAGCGAGAGGTCATGACTGCAAACACATTCAGGTAATCACTGCAGAGATAAACAGTCACAAATCTGCTGCTTTGGGGGCAAATAACTTTGAAATGGTGAACTGAATAACAAGAGCCATTTTATCTTGTTCTTGCAGTGTTTTGATTTGGAATCATATTTACAACTGAACTGTGAGCGAGGGACATGGCGCTGTCCTGTATGCAAGTATGTTTCATCAGCTTTAATACAGAGCAGTATTTGCCCTGTTTATACAGTAGCTTTGACTGTAATCCACTACATTGTGTCTCTCAACATTTTAAGCAATGCCTCTCTTTTCCACAGTAAAACAGCATTGTTAGAAGGACTTGAAGTAGACCAGTACATGTGGGGAATCTTGAATGCCATCCAAAAGTAAGTTGAGAAAAGAAACAAATTTGTAATGCATATGATGTATTTCTCTTAACCTTCATGAATTGTAACCATTTGATTTCATCTATATTTCACCAGCTCAGAGTTTGAGGAGGTCACCATCGACCCCACATGTAGTTGGCGACCAGTGGCTATCAAATCCGATATCCAGATCAAGGAGGATCCAGATGGACCACTGGCCAAGAGGTTTAAGACCATGAGTCCCAGCCAGATGATCATGCCCAATGTGATGGAGATGATAGCTCAGCTCGGCCCCGGGCCGTCACCGTACCCATCACTACCTTCTCAGCAAGGGGGCGGCAACAGTGAATACGGCAGCCAAGGTTCTATACAGTTCAAATCTACAATCCCTATAGAGACTAGTACACAAAGTCATAGGTGGTCATGCTTAAAAAACTTAAACATTCAACACAAAGTTTATAATAACTAAGAAATGTACATCTGTATTTACTGTTTTTTTTTATTTGGTGTGCTAGGCAACAGTTACCAGGGACACGGGAACTTTGACTTCCCTCACGGCACCCCTGGTGGTACGTCGATGAATGATTTCATGCATGGTCCCCAGCTGTCTCACCCACCTGACATGCCCAACAGTCTGATGGACAAGCCACTCTCCCACAACATGCCTGACTCAGTGAGTTTGACTGTGTTTCTATTAAATTCTTTTCAGTACATTTCACTTCTCATTGCTTTATTTTGTTGTTTCTGTTAAATCACATCTAACTGTGATTTAAGAGGGCTAAAGTATATAAATCAGGTTCATTTTGGTAGGAGAGCAGAGATTATACACAAAATAAGCACACTATAAAACACCTGGAAATATATGTTTAAAGGGAAGTACCATGCTGAATGACCATGGGAAACAGCCATAAAACCATAAAACCTGGTAGCAAACACACTCTCACTTAGCTTGACAAGATAAATCACACACATGTTCAGCTCTATCTGCGTTAATCCTTAAAAAAAATTAAAAAAAATAAATAGAAGTAACTAGGCTATTAGTTGCAGCCCTAGTCTGAAGATTTCCCCCATTCTCCCTGTAGATACCTCATTCTGCTGGCAATGACCATGGTCCATTGCAGCAAAGCTTACATGCATCTCCACACCCTGGGAGCCAATCGGGGCAGCAGCTACACCACAGCGGGCCTCCTCAGCCCTCACGACAAGTTCCACCTACAGCAGCAGCAGCAGCAGCAGCAGCCTGGCCCCAACAACCATCCCCACAGCGATCTGCCCTTCAACCCCTCCAGCAGCTTGGACAGCCAAGCAGGGTCGGACATGCCCGAGCCATCATTAGACGTAAGTCCTGGCACACAGCAGAAAATTTCACAGCCAACCTACATATAATCAGAATGTAGGTAGTTTACCTGAATGCCTAACCAAAGTTTCTCCCTTACAGCTTCTTCCTGAGCTTGCTAACCCTGATGAGCTGTTGTCATACCTGGATCCACCAGACCTCCCCAGCAACAGCAACGATGACCTTCTGTCACTCTTTGAAAACAACTGAGATGATTCAGACATAAACTTTTCTGACTGCCTGCAGTTTCCTTTAGAACCCAGGGCAGTCACTCAGTACTTGATAAACACAAAGATGCACTCCCTTTCTCTTCTTCCTCTTGTATAGTTTTCATTCGCCAGCGCAGATTGACTGAAAGAAGTTAAAACTCAATGCTCACGGTGGGATGCCCGCCCCGTGGCGATACCTTTGAACTGTGCAGCTATACTTAGTTGATTTTTTTATGCCACACACAAGTGTATATGTGCACATTAGGAACGTGTTGTAGCATTTTTTTATTCATGTTTTGTTTCCTTTTTAGAGTAAAAAGGAATTCACTGTATAAAACAGAAAAATAACTGAAAAAAGTGCTATCTGGCCAGTGTGCATTATCTCCATATTGCTATTCCAACTGGAGAGGCCACAGCTTCCTTAAGTCACAGCTCCATTCCCTAAGTGGTCTGGTTAGTCGCACTGTTTTGTCCACCACACATCATTTAAAAGCACAAGAGATTCTGGCATTGGGGGAAAATGAATTCTTTACAAACAAAGAATTGGATCCATATATATCTGTCCATGACAAAATGTTTTTAAAAAAAATTTTGACAATGTTTTGAAAAGATTTTTGGGAATGATTGGCTTCCACTTTGTCTATAATTGTGATACTTACATATTTTTGTCAAATAGAGATTTCCCTGCTTTTCATTGCCCAATAGAGTTTACAGATGGAATGGAGAAGATTTTGGCCCCACTGAAAAAAAGTTTATATTGCATCCCAAGAATAATATACATGTACTACATAGTGTGTAGCTTTCATCCTCCTGTACAGAGGAGTGAGTTTATGGAAATTGATGGTACAATATGAGAGTGGGGGGTTCCTTTGGCACTCCTGCTGTGTTTATTGCTTCCTTCTACAGCTCCTTCCATGCCGTGTACTCTGCATGAGCCCCTGGTGTTGCTCATGTCAGCGTTTTTGCAAAGTTGCATCTCTCTCCCTGTTAAATGATGTGCTGTTAAGTAGTCTACAAAGTGCATGTGTGCCAAGCCTTTGTCTAGTGCTGTTCCAAGTGGTTAAAAAAACATAGTGTGGATTTTATCTGTTGTTGTTACCACCGCTCTTTTGTTTATATGTTTGTGTTTGATTTCTGTCAGATTTAGTATGATTAATTTAACATTAACATTGAAGGGATAATGCTGATACCAGCAGTACATTTATCATGTATTTGCTGGATATACTGTATTATGTTTGTTTGTCTTTTTGTTTTGTTTTGTTGTTTTGTTTTGCTGAATAATTAACCTATACATTAATCTTTTGGGAAACTGCTCAACATCACCAAAGTTTGAGGGATGAGAATGGAGATGTTTGTGTTTGCTTGGGCCTGTGAAAGACTGAGTATGATCAAGTGTGTGCATGACTGTATGTGTGTGTATGAGAGGTAATAATTGGTTTCAAAGATATGGAGGAGGACAATTACAGTTTATCCATCACTACTGTTCAAGAAGTGGTGTTTAAAGCAGTATTGGTGCAGACATTTTGCCACATTTGTTTTAAGTTTCACTTTTTGAGAAGAGTGCTGTTCAGTATGCAAATGTATTATTTTTAAAGAAATGCTATTGTACTGTAAATATAATTGTGAATATTTTTATATCATCTTGATATTGTTTGTTCTTTGATCATTAGTCATCCAACCCAACCACATATGCTCCCCTGCTCCCATCTGACCACTGACTTTGTTTGCAACCAGCAGCTGTCTTTTGCCTCCTTGTTGCAGAGAAGCCGGTCCAAACATCTCATAAGCTACTTCCTGCAGGCTGTCCTGCTTTCTAGTCACTTTTCTTCCAGTGCACTCTGTCTCACACCTGTCATTTATAGACGGGTGTCCCATTTCTCTGTGGTCCCCTTCTCTGTATCAACTGAAGGTGATTGTGTAGCATCATTTCACCTGTAAGATGTCAAGCGCAGTTTCAAGCAATATTTTTCTTTTGTACACATGTATTTGATTGAAAATGATCAGTGCTGTCTAATCATAAATTTCTATTAACATTTTATCAGTAATGGTTTTAGAAAGATGTGGTATCAGCTGGCTTTCAGTGTAATTAGTGAGCTATGTGAATATCATACTTGTTGCTAGCTGTCAATACACAGTGGTATTTTAAAGATATATCACAACCATATTTTAAAGAAATTCATGATATTGTTTATATTTTTATTATAGAAAATGTGGCTTTTTTAAGCATGAGACCATATACAGCACATCTTTATCCCTTTTTGTTTGTGGTAAGTTATTTTGTACTGTTTTTCTTATTAATCTGTAAGGCTAGAAATCCAATTTCTTTCAACTGTAGCATTGTGTTCATTAAATCACCTTGGGTTTATGTAAGCATAATTTTGAACATCTTTTATGAAATATGATTTGTTCCAGTTCCACACACTGACATGCTGTTTCATATTTATGTCACAAGGAGGCATCAAATCAAAATTCTTTTTTAATGATACACGGCCTCGGTTTTATTTGTTACTATATGAATTGAGACTTTCCTTGGAAATCATTGTCATTTCATATTTTGTTCTTACTTTCAAGTGAGCCAATTTGATGTATTTGGCAGCACCCAAAATTTGTAGTTGCACTATCACAATAAAGGGCCATTTCCCTGGGGGAGTTGTTTAAAAGAAAAAAAAAAAAAAAAAAAAAAAAAAAAAAAAAAAACAATTAAAAATATAGAAAGGAAGGGCATGTTCATCATTCAGGCCTGGAAAGGTTGAGGGCAAGGTTAAGTCAAGTGTCCCAAGGATGTCTGTATATATGTAAATGAATATAGAGACATGTGAACAGAAATGTATTCATTTTCCCTGGGAATGTGCATTGTTTCTTCAGAACAATAAAAAGCTTGCAACCCCTCTACTGGAAGTGGCTGAATATGGAAAATGTTAGTTAGTGTCTTTGGGTATCTCTCAGAGTTTTGTTCCCCCTCTGTAATATAGTTTTGCCTCTTTTGTTAGAGGAACTGGGACAGCTCTGTTTTACATGTAATATTTAGCTTAAGTGTTTTAGTCTATCACCTACGTACTCTGAGGTGCTAAAGCTAGAAAAAGAAAAAAAAAAACAGGTTACAAAGAATAAATAAATAAATCCCTTGGAGGGGTGGGAGAAAGGCAGTGGGAGGACAGGTCCAGACGATTGTAACCAAATCCATGGTTTGTACATTTTTGATATCATGAACAGTTGGAAAAATAATACAATCTAAGGTGATTCATGCAATGTGGCCATTGTCTTTATGTTTGTACATTGTATGTACAATCATTTCATATTCTAAACTGGTCAGAAAATGAAGAAACTAATTGTGATTTTTAGTCTTGCAGAACTGTATGTAGTTAGATGATGTGACCACCTAATATTTATCTAATAAATATGTATTCAGATGATACGTGTGTCACTGTGGTTTTGTCTTCTGTGCATTTGCATTATAGTAAGTTAGGCCTGCCTAACTCTCTCAAGCTGTTTATCTGAGCAGAAGGTGTAAATAATGGTATCAGATTTTATTAACATAGCTTAAGGTCAGCTTGGCTTTAGCATAGCACAATAAGAGAGACAAGGTATAGGCCACCTGCTCATAGGGTGTAGAGGTGTGGAGTATATTAAAGAGGAAATGATAAAATAAAAAGAAGCAAAAAAGAAAGCGACAGAAATGAATGGAGCAATATGGGTAGAATGTGCTTTTCAGAATATAATTACTCACTGTATCCCCACATCTATGCCAACATCACCCATCAACTGCAATTTTTTTTATTTTTCTCTCACAATATACTGATACTGTATAGCCTAAAGTACTTGAACAAACTGCTCTAACACTACTAATGCAAATGAAGTGAGTTTCAATCTCAAATTCTCTCGCAATATTTTAGTTGAACACATGCATATATACAGACAGTTTATAATTGATGTAACTCCCAAATCTGAGCTCTGTGCACGTATTGTCAATCAGAATCTGAGCCTTCTGTTGTCCATAGTATATAAATCTATGCTTCGAGGTATAGTTATGAAATACAACCAGTGGGCCAAAGACAGAGAGAGACTTGTTTTAATGTTTCATAACTGCAGAGAAAGACAGACAAACAAGGGCTTGGTCTAGAATTACTCCCTGATACCCAGTGTCTGCATTATGAAACGTACACGCCAGTGACCTATTATCGCGAGATTTGGGTCGTGGCCACTCGTAGAGGAGACGTCACGTTACGTCCGGTTTTGTAAGAGAAACTTCCTCATTTTCCATATGTAATATTGCTGACCTTGGCGAAATAACTATTACTTTTGAAAATGCTAATTTTATCAAACAGGATAAAGTTATGGTCTCTGGCTTTTACAGCCGCACGCATGTACAGCAGCGGTCCCGCCGTTGCTAACAACAATCCCACCGTTTACTTTGACATTGCTGCAGACAACGAACCACTGGGCAGAGTAAGCTTTGAGGTGAGAAGATAAATGTCCGTATTTACTTAAACTATGATAATGTTTGCTTTTCAGCGAATAAGAAAAGAAGCAGCACATACATTTCGCCGTGTGTCCTTTCAGTAACGTTAATGTTTTATGACAGTCGTTCAGTCAGTTTTCCATATACAGGCTATAACCTGTTCACACATGAACCTCAGGCATTTCATTTTTTTTCTTTGCAGCTCAACGCCGACGTTGTGCCAAAAACTGCAGGTAACATTCATTACTGATTACCAATATATATCTTTACATCAGTCAGCACCAAACAGATACAAGTTAGAAAAAATAAATTGCATTTAGTGTCGTGTAAAACCTTGGGCATTTGAGAAACTGGAACAAGAATTGTTTTTTTGACATTGTTGCATAAAAATGTGATTTATAAAAGCTGTTGAACTTTTTGTGAACTGACTGTTGAGTAACTTATGCTACTCATGCATCATCATTTAGTAACGCAGAACAAAGAAACACATTTTTAAATTATTGTTACCGGCCTTTTTTTGGTACAAGTGCTAATGCTATACCTGTATTTTGGTATAAGTCAAAATATGAGCAAGAACTACGCCTGAATAAAATCAGGTGAAGGAAACAAAACTGTGACTTTGAGCAGACATTCAATGCCACCTTTTATTAATTGCCAGTTTTCAGTCATCTGTGCCACAGACACATTTTACTCCATTCCAAATAGTACTGGGGTTAGATACTCAGTTTAGGAAAAGACCACAAAAAGCATCTGGTTCAGATTTTTAGTTGACCTGGAACACAGTCACTATGTATCTGACTAATAGACTACAAATGAGGCAGCCCTAAAAAATTAATGTATCTGTTTGCTGGAGACCTGTCACAAAGATCCAGTGTTCAGTGGCCTGTATGGATTGTCAGAGAGAGGCTCTTATGAAGAATCTTTTCCTGCAGAAAATTTCAGGGCACTTTGCACAGGGGAACATGGCTTTGGTTACAAGGGGTCAACTTTCCACAGGGTGATCCCTCAGTTCATGTGCCAGGTGGGTTTCTCTCTTTCTCTTCTTTTTGTTGCCCAGTGTGGTGTTGCGGTGTGATCACAGTGATATGTGTTTTCAGGGTGGAGATTTTACTAACCACAATGGAACTGGTGGGAAGTCAATCTATGGATGGAAGTTTCCTGATGAGAACTTCAAACTGCAGCACACTGGACCTGGTAATCATCCCATATCCCAAAGCTGGTAGTGTCATTGTTTGAAACTGGGCTGATGAATAGTTTGTCTGGAGCCAAAAATAAAAACATGCCAGACAAAGGATGAAAGCCTATTTGGGCATGTACTTAAATATTAGAAAGTATTAAAAAGTGATGTTTTCTGTACATCAGAAAGACTAAATGAGGGCCTATACACCTTGTTTGTTTTTAAATTGAAATGAATGTTTCATAGTGTCCTGGTGTGATTTGTCTTAGTCTCTTCACCAGCAGGTGTCAGCGTTGTGCAAGTAGTTTTCAAACCACCAGTCAAAAATGTCTTATGACTCTGTCAAGTCAAGATTTTTATTTGCCATTTATGCATAAACAGACAGTCTAGGCATATAGGAATTCTTGTGCAGCTCTCCTTTGGAGTCAGGTAAAGAGTCAAATGCCAGAAAGAACACTTAGTCTTAAAATAAAATGTTATGTAAAGGTAACAAAGTATTTAAAACGGTATACACAAAAATAGGGTAATAGTATTTTCTCAGTGAACTTCAAACATCGCACTTAGTAATTCACATGGTGGAGTTGGATATGTCATTACGCTTGGTGAGGCAGTGAGGGGTTATAACATATTAAAACACACAAACTGGCTTTAGAAAACAGATATTTTCATAAATTGTCAGTGAAACTTGAATTAAAACCCTGTGTTCTATTGAACGGTTGAATAAATTTGTGACTTTTGATTTAGTGCATGTTAAAGCCATTCTGGCAACTCAAGTGAAAACAAGCTATATTTATGTTTTGTTATTTTCGACCTCACTGAATTTGAATTTGTTGGATTGTAGGCATCTTGTCTATGGCCAATGCTGGACCCAACACCAATGGATCCCAGTTCTTCATCTGCACCGCTAAAACAGAATGGTATGTACTGGCAGATGTGACATTATAGGGTTGATCCTTTTGCATGTATTCTTGCACATTTCACCAGTATTGGCCTGCTCTCTGTTACTGGCTGGCTGGTAACTTGGAAAAACAAAAGCACATAACTAACTTTTCTGTGTTCTGTGAGTGCTTGTGGTGGCAGTATATGGTTTGGACACAGCAAACTTTGAAAACATTAGTGAGTTTGGTTAGGCTCATGTAACATGGAAAAAGAGAGTAGTTACTCTGGGACAATTTAACATATTTTGGAGTATTGAATGCACATCTGTTAATGCTACTTCGTGCAGGTCACACTTGCCGCATGTTGAAAGTGAAGTGTAAATGTTACTAGAAAGATTGTCATTTCAACCTTTATGGAAAAGTGACCAATGGAATGGAGTACACGTCCAAAAAGGGTTTTATAGCAACTTAGCTGAGATCTGAACAGAAAAGCATTCAAATCCAGACGAGTCCAGGTATCAGAGGCTCCTCACTCACCTCAGCCAAACAAAAAGTCGAGTTATTTTATAAATAAACTCTTTAAACTAACAATTTGTCCTAGGGATCTAACTCAGGTTAATAGTTAAGTATATCGCTTAAAAATCTGCTACCGTCTGGATTTTTTTTTATGAAGCTTTTTAGTATGGTTTCAGCTGTGTCCAGTTATTGTTGAAATGTTGTCTGAGTTTTTTTCCCCCACCCTGCTGGGAGTAAAATCTTGGTGGAAGCAGTGAATTCTTGTAATTCTTTTGGCATGAAAGCAATAATGTGAAAGTGTATAAATGGCAGAAAACAAGAACGATCATTGCAGAAATAGTATCGTCACTCAACAAAAAGCTGTGAGTCAAACCCAGCTGGGTGCACTGTAGATCACCTCCCTGTCCACAGCGGTAATAAGAAACCTCTTCTTTCTTCATTTAGGCTGGATGGCAAGCATGTTGTCTTTGGCAGTGTGAAAGAGGGAATGGACGTGATCAAGAAAGTTGAGTCTTTCGGTTCACGGTCTGGACGAACCTCTAAGAAGATCACTATCACCGACTGTGGAGAGCTCATCTAGACCCCATGTCTAGCGACGCAGTCCTCATTTCACCTTGTTATTTCAGTGTTTCTTTAGTCGTGGCACAGAACGATACCTCTCTTTATTGACAACAGATAATGTCTGAATCAGGCAAAGTTTTTCAGCTGGAACTTTAATGTCCAGGAATTAACTACTGCAGTTAACTGTGATGCCGTAAAATGTGAACTAGTATTATATTTGAGGGAAAACTAGTAATTCATTAACATAGATTGAAATTGGGTTGATAAAGTGGAATTTATTTAAAAGACAAAAATAAAGTTTTATTTTCTAACTAAATGAGCTTGTTCTTGTCATCTCTTGTCAAAAATCCCCAAAGGAGATGTTTTAGTCAAACAACTGACTTATAAAAGCTGTTTGAGTCAAAGGTATGGCCATGTATTGGGGGGAAAGCAAGTTTTATCACCAGCTGAGTAGTGAAGTGTTTTGTAATTCTCCCTGCTGCCTTCTGCTTTCCCCATCAGCTTCCGCCAACCCAAGACTTTATTCCACCAGGTATTTGTTCTGCTGAAGTCTGTTTAGAAGAATTTAGGGCTACAATGTCAGATCTGTTTGCTCCTTTTAGGTGTCGAATCATTTTGTATCACAGTGTAGTGTAGGTTATGTCACAAGTGGTGTATAAAAAAGTGATGAAGCCAAATCTGGTAAATACATTTTAAAGACGCTCCAGATTATGTTGTGGACATTTAAAAATATGTAACATCTGTATTAGTTAAGAGAGAGTGTGGTATTATTTGTTGTCAGTTACACATGCCTGTGTAGACTTTCCTAGCTCCTGAATCTTTACTTCCACATTGATAAATTTAAAGCTGTGTGCCTCTATTGTCTTAAGAGACAAAAAAAACCAGGAGCACAATAATGTGAATAATTTGTTTAGGTACATTTTAATACAAAAACATCCATCTCATGGATTACTCAAACTAAGGCACATTAAGTGGCAATTCACACTTGTTAAAAAGTAAAGTCATAGGTTATTTCTGTTCCAGTTTCCATTTATCACAATTTCACTGAAATACAAAGACCCTCTAAAGCATTCACATGCAACCTTAGACTTGCATGTTGCATATGACACATTATAACCCATGACCCAGTGAGTCTTAGCACTGTGTGCCAAAATGTGACTGCTTGGTAATTCATTCTCTTTGTCAGTAAAATGTTTCTACTGTATTGCATTGGTTTATAACAGCTTTGGAATGACAAACTACCTGAAAGGTGTTTGTTATTGGCACATAGTGTATAAAGAATAAAAGTTAGTTGGCTAATACAATGTGTTCCTTCACAACGTATAACAATCAATAAAAGTAATGGCTTAGAAATATATACAAAAATTATGTACCCTCCAGTACTGATAATGCATATATAATAATGCAGATACACATTAATACTGCACATCCCTTTTAGTAAAGACTTGCTGCATAATTTATACAGAAGACATTCAGGTTACTTCTGGAATATACAAACATGTAAAACTAAACTTCACTCATGAATTTTGTTCCAACATGTTGGACATGAGTGAAGACAGACAGACCTAAAGTTTCTTAATTCACAGTTGGCAAGATTCTTGGTTCATAGTTGAGACTTCAAATGAATATTCACACGATGAAACTGAGTAACTCACAAGAACCCAGCAAAAGCAAAGTACATGTCTCCACTGAGAGGCAGTGTAGGAATGTTCCACCACAATGAGCTTCTTACACTGAGTCAGTGTCAGACAGAATATTTCAAAAGAGTAAACCATTAGATATATTACAGTACAACAAAGTATATTATCTTGTAGGTTTAGTATTTAAAATATAACCATCCCTTTTTGATAGAACTTTGAAGGAAGGCGAGTAGAGTGTGTTATTGCACGCGGCGGCAGTAGTAGCCGAGGACTTTGCATTTTTCACACAGGTGCTGCGGATGCTCCTTGCTCTGGTCTGACACATCCAACCCATCCGGTTTCTCCAGAGGGCGCTGGAACAAAAAAAATAAATAAAGATTTACTGAAAATTTTATTTAACACAGTAACAGTTACTCTTAAGAGCAATCATGGCAATTAGCTGATAGCATCCATGACTGTAGAATCACCTTTAGATGAAATGCTAAATTTTAGAGTTAACCTTTCTGGTTTCAGTTCCACCATCAGCTACATAATGTAGTGACAAAGCTAAATGTAAGCATATATTTACATTCAGGTTTAGGTGTGTCTGCAGCTAAAAAGATTTTACCTGCAACACTGTGCTTTTATACAGTTACACAGGATTCGATTAACACGGTTAAACCTGTTAGCTTGGTCCACAGAGAAAACATGAAGCGGCTCTTCACCTCAAGAGTCAAATTTCAAGAAAATATGCTTGATGTGGGGGCGTTTTGCAAGCAGCCATCCTTATCTCTCGATGCCTTTTTGTCTGTAGTTTGGATGTAATGTTACCTGCTTATGAGGGTAAACGTTGATGTGGCACTTGATACATTCTTGTCCCATGTTGGCCCAGGAGTTCCCGCTCATCCATTTCCTCTTACATTTAGGGCATTTGTATTCACCAAAACATCTCTTCTTTCCCTGGTACGGGGTCAGGCCTTCACCTTTAGGTCGAGCCTGAACAGATATTAAGAGCAGAAAGCACATTATCATGATTGACCTCATGTGCAACCCACTTTCACTCTTACTTTGTAGCTTTAAAATGGGACATTTCTCAGTGTGTTCACCTCAGCACCTTTCACCACCTTTAACTGGAGGAGACTGGATGATTTATTTGGTTTCTTTGGATGGCAGCCAATTCAAAGCTCTGTGAATAAAACAAGAGGTGATAGTAGACCTGCTGGTGGTCAAGAGAGTTGAGTTTATGAAGTAGTTTTTTCTCAGGACTGAAATGAATATTGTTTCTGTCAATGCAAGTAAGAACATATCATCTGCTTTGATGTCTAAGTATAATCCTTAGCCCTGGAAGAGTGAGTCTTACATTTTAAAGGAAGCTTAGTTGTAGACGGACAGTGTAGATATTTAGAAGACTCCTTGTACTGTAAAAACAAATAGACTTTTAATGCTTTCATGGTTTATTCCAAGGACGTTGAAATATATTGTAATTGTTAAGTGTAATTTATTTGGTGGACAGAAAAGAAGGAATCTCAGCTTTCTCATTAGAAATGAATTCTCCCTCCAGCTGTGTTCCCAAGGGACTGTAAAGGAGGCCCCCAGCCTGTGTGTGCGTGTGGGCGGGTTTCTTGCTATAGGACAAATACCTCAGGCTCTCAGTCATCCCTCCAAGCTGGCCCCAACCCACCAATCAAGACACAGAGATCTTAGCAGGGAGGAAATAAAACCCAGATGAACTATGCACTTGTATAACATGACAACATCCTAAACCCATCACAAAGAAATCATCTCAGCTGGTTTAAATAAAAAACACTGTGGCTTAAAACTAGGGCAAAACAAAGTTAATACTGAATCCGCACCACCAAAGGAGTTCACATCAAATCTTGTTTTGGTTTCACAGCAGGAACATATGTCAGATTCAAAACTTCTAACAGCTATTCATTTCTAAGGCTACATATGTTTAAAAAAACGCATTTAACGTACCAACAGCCAAGTTTGTAACTGTTAAACATTTCGAGCCACCACAGGGTACTGTGGGAGGTCACTTGTGATGGCAGCCCTCTTTTTCAGGCACCCACAGGGAGAGCAGATAGAGCATCATCTTCCTGAGGGAGGAAACAGCTTTCACTCTGCAGAGCAAGCAAAACAAACTCTACCTAAAGTCTGGAGTCCAGAGGGCAGCAAAGGGCATTTTGCACTCTGGAGTTTCCACTGGTCCCATCAAAGATGTGACACTGACAACCAACACTTTGGACCCAATAGTGGATATGCTTATGAAAAGCAAGAATGTTTGAGTGATGGGAGGAAAATGCACAAATCCACCATTAAACAACTGTGCATTACAGTGTCTTTCATTAATTAATATTCAGTACGTGATCATTTTTAATGAACATTATTTGAACTAAGACGGTGTTAAGAACAACATTTAGTACAGGTGCACCACTAACTGTCTAATATGATAATGTTGGGATGGGTAATGCCAGAGATTAATACCTCAATATTAGTACAAATGTTTTTTATTTCTTGTATATAGCTATTGTATGGAAAATGGCAGGTAAAGCATTCAAAATGATGCTGATACTAAACACATTATATAGCCATGCTAGCAACTCTCTGAGGCTGTACTGAGGCATGCCGGTGCTTTGAGCTAAATGCTAACATCAACATTCTCACAATGACACTGCTGAGATGCTGATGTTTAGCAGGTATAATGTTTACCCCACTACCATTCAAAAGTTTGTTTAGACTTTCCCATGGATTTGAATGGGAAAAATCTGTCCAAACTTTTGACAGGTAGTATATGTTTATCTTAGTTTTTAATTAGCACTTAACACAAAGCACAGCTGAGACTAATGATAACATCATTAGCTTTGCAAGTATTTGGTTATAAAGTATTAAATAAATTAAATTTTTAACCTAACAATGGTGGAGCCTTAAAGGCCAATCAATCCAATAGATGTCATTTCACTCTAAACCACAAATGTGAATCTCATAGTGGCACCATCATGAGGAGGAAGTCTATAGGATTCACCCTCTGGATTCCATCATCCCCAAAGTGCTGAATCTATTGACTAAAATATTTATTATGTCCAGCACATCCTACCCAAAAGCTAGTGCACACAGCAGTGAAGCATGATTTTAGTGCTACAGCAGATAAGCTTGGCCCAAATCGTTGTAGCCTGGTGAGAGAGGCCCAGGGAGTTGACCACCTCCTTCAGCCCTCATCTGGAAATCATCAGAATAAACAATAGACTACTGCAAATCCTTACCCCCCACTACTTCTTTCTCTCTCTTTCATTCACTCTCTGCCCACATGATACCGTCATCCTGGAGAACACATCAACATTAAGCCTGTTCTGGACACCAAGTGAACAGTTACTCCACACTAACAAACCCAGAGTGAGTATTTGAAAAACTCACTATAAGCAGCTGGTGATCTTAAAATTGGCCAGAGATGACTATGGTGAGGGTACTGTTAAAAATTAGGAACATTAGAAGGCTGTCTTTGTCATGATGCGACACATATATAGTGTATGTTTTAAATAACGGTCCTGATGATACAAGTCAAATATAATGATGAAATGAATTTGAAGAGATTAGCATATTTGGATAATCCTTTCCTAATCATAAAATCTAACAATTTCATTAAATAGCAAATGTAATTCAGAAAATCCAACTCTTTGGAAGAAAGCTGTCCATCTAAATTAGCAAATAAATGATTAATTAAAATAATTAAAATACCCTGGTGTCTACATACTGTATATAATTCATTCTTCAATTTAAATACCTGTGTATATAATAATTTGAAGTATGACTTTGAGAGATGCTGTTGTATGGATTATGACACACTGTAATTACTTCACTTGAAGCTGGGAACTATACCGACATGCCAGTTTAGTTGTTGCACAGCTGCTCTCACTGTGTCACTGGTGCTGAACTCAGCATCCTGCCTTTAACGCAGGTTTAATTGCAGATAAAACCTCTCTGCTGGTTTCACCACAATGAAAATACAAACCACAGAGTTGTGATTCAAGGAAACAAGATGTGGGGCGCTCCCTGGCCAATGGAAGCACCCTTATGTCCTGTTTTACACAATGGTGCTTCCTCCTTTCCAGAATTTATCAGGGCCAAATGCTCCACTTATAGAAACATCCACATAGCAAATGAGTCATTTAACGGCACGGAGCTATAATGCTTCCATGCAGCCTCTCTACAAATCTTGCACATCTGAAATACTGAATGGATTAACCTTCTCCTTCTCCAAAATAAATGTGATTAGAGACAAACAACTGGTGGCCAAAAAGCAGATAACTGCTCATCTGTTTTTTTACAGGCTGCCCCAGATATTCAGTCTTCCATCAGGCTCATTGTTCACAGCATGCAGAGTCTTTAAACTACCAGAATGATTCCACAAACTAATTCACAGGAATTTAGGTTTAAAAGAAGAAGAAGAAACTAATTGTGTCTGACTACTTCTTGGTAAAATGTCAAACCATTCCTTTAGTTACTATACAGTCTAAGCAATATGATATTGAATCATGGAAATCAATGGTTATTACAGAAAGTAAAATGTTCAAAATGGGTTTCACTGACACAGACATCTGCTCACAATGCACTCTAGTTTGCACCGACAGTTACTTTATTTTCATGCTACTTGGACCTGCCAATCAGTTTATTCTCTCTGGATAGCAGTGACAAACTCTCCACGATCTTGGGCTGTAGAATCCCTCCTTCTCCATTACATAGCTTACTCACAGACGTTGACCACCTACCAATTAAATACAGAAACCCACTCCTCATTTCTCTAGCTATTGCCAAGAAAACAATCTTTCAAAACTTTTTTCAGCACACCCCTGATTCTTAAGTTGAAGAAATAAATTCTAAAAAAATCACTACACATAAACCACTGGACCAACCTTCTGACAGAATACATCACATTAGAGAAAACGGCATCCACTCACAAGAATAGTTCATCAGCTTTTTATGACACATGGAACCATTTTTAACACATTTCAACTTGAACCAAATACCTGGGGATGAGGCCACGCACATTCCCAACAATCTCTAGAAACAAGCTGTTTTTATTAGTTGTACTGTTATCATCATTATTATTGGTCATGTTTTATTTATTTACTTCCCCTCCTTTTCCCTTTCTTGCATTTCATAGACTGCATAAGTTGGAAATACCCACACTTCACACACTACATCCTCATTAAACACTCTATAACCTATTGTAATGTCATGTAACTGTTGTCTTGTCTCCCATGTTTGGTACTGTTTTGTTAATGTGTTACTTTGTTTCAATAAAAAAAAAAAAATCAATGGTTAGAACTGAAGCAACTCAAGACTAAAAGTATCTGACTAGATATAAAGTCCTTCTGCAGACCCTGCAGCTATCAATAGTTCCTCTGCCTAAAGTATTTTTCAAAACAGACTTTCCCTTCCATTCAAACATGATTAAACTGCAGCTGTGAAGACTTTCACCCACTTCCTGTGCTACCTACTGTTTCTGAAAATACATTCTAGCTGCGGACATTGTTATGGTTTGCGGTCTTGCTTCCTGTTTGGTGCTTTTATTTTGGCTAGTTTCCTGTCCTGTGTCACCTCACCTGCCTCAGCTTTACTCACCACTCATTGTGTTCACCTGTCCCTCTTTATCCCTTGGTTGCCTGTGTATCTATACTCTTTCCTTTCCCTCAGTCTCTTGCTGGTTCATCCGGTCTCCATACCTCGTTGCTCCTGTCGTTCTCTACTCTTACTCCTGTTTTCCTGTGCTCCATGCCTGATCACCCAGTTAGTTCCTTTGCTCTCATTTTCTGCGTAACACTTGTAAGTTTTGGACTTTATCCTTGCCTCATCTATGGACTTTGTGATCCTGTGACTAAGACTGCCTTCTTTGTTTTTCACCTGTTTTAGAGCTTGCTAGTTTTGGCTCCCTAGTTTTGTTATGTAGCTCCCTGACTGTACACTAGACTCTGAAACCTAACAGACATCTCCAGGCAGCTGCTCTCTGGCCCTTTAAATGAGTGTCCGAGAGCTGCTCCTATGCAGAGAGAGAGAGATGGAGATGACTGCAGCCAAGCAAAGCTGAGTGAACAATACAGCCTGACTTCCTGACCTTTGGTTCCACAGCCCCTCTGGAGAAACAATGCTCTCCTTATTTAGCCCATGTCCTTCCCACCATACCCCCACTCACTGTCAGCACACTGTCACTTGTGTACTCTCTTTACAGTAACCAGGTTCACCTAATTGGCAAGGGAGCCTTAACATGCCACAGTCCTGAGTTAAGGGCTAAAAAAGTGTTTAACAACCATATTTTGGTCACTTGGCTTAAATTATGAGTAGTTTTATGATTACAGCGATGTAAGGACTTTGAGCTGAACAGAATAACTTAATAAATTAGAAATAAAGTCATTTTTCTGCTACCCAGTGTACAGTAAGATATGTAATAAAAGTAGATTTTTTCAATTGTCTTGAGCTAAAAAGGCCTTAGATTCCAGCCAACAAGAACAAAAAGCACTTTGTTCATTAGTTACAGCTTCAGAAGAATGTTCAGCTCAGTTTCAATCGAAGAGGCTTTTTGTCATGATGACAGCTCCATAATCATTGTTTTTGGTCTGAAAAATTAGCAACACCTGATAAAATCTGACATTTTTCTAAAGCAGAGCAAGTGCGACAGAGAGCCAAAAAACAGAGATGGATTCCAGATGTTTCAAACTACAAGGGCCGTGGCTACAAAGAAGAACTTTATATCTAAATATCCAATATTTAAGCTTCAATATTTAAATACTAACCTTTAAGTACCTGTAGCCCAAATGCATGAACTGTCATTTGTCCTTTTTTAAAATAATTTTTACCACTTAAGGCTTCCACTGAGGGAACCATGTGCTTCTTTATCAAAGTGGCAGACTTTCCAAGTTAAAGATTGTTAAAGGCCCTGCACACACACACTTCCTGTATGCTTCTCTCATCTCACTGAGCTGTAATATTCTTCCTTTCCACAGTCCAAAGAAACTCGATGCCGATAAGATTTTTTATATCACTCCATAAAAATGGCTTTTAAAGATTTTTTTCAGTGCTTTGATTTATACCTTTCTATTCTTCATTTGAAAGAAATGTGCTGTGCAAAAACTGGTGTTTCAAAGATGCACACAGTTTCCTTCCTGGTGTGATTATACATCAAAGAGGCTCAACCTCAAGACTAATACATACTCAAAAATAAGTGCCAGTGTGTTGGTTGTGCAGTTAATGGTTGAAAGCTTCTTTGGTTTGGACCGGGAGGTGTGTTTCTGAAGCTGGGGAGCCGACAGTCAGACCCACCTCTTGTAGTGATTGCCAGGTGGGCACAGATGTGAATAAGTTGAGTTATAAGCTTACTGCAAACTATTTTCTCTGCATTCTTCACATTCCTCCACTACTTTTGTTCACAGCTGAGCTGCCCCAGTCTCCTCTGTGCCGGCGGTGATAGAGGCGATGAGCTTTCAGAGACAGCAGATTGAGCGATCAAAAGGTGGTTCAAGTTCTAAACCACGGTAAGGACAGATCAGAGCTAAGTGACAGACTTCCCTTAAATTTCTGTTACTTGTTTCTGGGTTAAAGGAATATTCTGGGAAATACACATTCACTTTATTGTAGAGTTAGATGAGAAGCTCTATGACACTCCTGACAATTTTAAATATGTAGTTTAGCTGGAGCCAGCAGCCAGTTAGCTTAGCTTAGCATAAAGACTGAAAATGAGGGGCTAGCCTGTAGCACAATCCACCTACCCCCACCTCATAAATTAAAATGTTATATCATATAAATTACCAGTAAAAATGTACAAGCTATTTTTAATTTATGCTTTTTACTGTTATGCCAATGTCAGCTGGCATTGGCTCCAGCCCCCTGACCCCCTTGCGACCCTCATTAGGATAAGCGGTATAGATAATGAATGGATGGACTATTGTATTAATTTGATTGCTTCCATTACACCTAATAAATGTCAAGCAATTCCCTCTGACCATGACTGATGGAGAGCTGCAGCTGCTCATAAAGCAGTGGTAACAGTTCTTTCATGTTTAGTAGAGGTTCCACAGAGAAACCTATCATCTTTCATTAAGGCCAGCTCCAAGATCCAATCTGGCATCTGCTGATCATTACCATATGTAATGAAATATGTGCTGAGAAGCTTATTTCATGCTGAGAAAAAAAAACAAACTTAATATTCAGGCTTGGCATTTATGTTGTTAATACTGTTAAATAAAATGAGGGATGACAATATACCTTGAACTGTGATGAACAAATGTGGATGTGATCTGCCAGTTTGATCTGATCGAATCAGATCAAATATGTCATAGTCACTTAATGAATTTCCTTTTCTCAGACAACACTTCATATTAATCAGAACACACTAATGCAATTGGAAGGCAGCTCAAATGGCCCACACACAGCACGGCTGTTTCAGTTTAGGCCACAGCCTGTGTGGATCTGCGCCTGACTGTTATGGCATTAATGACTGGCTCACCTGAGGGCAGTCTTTGATGTAGTGTCCTTTGTTGAAACATAGGTGGCACAAGTAGTTGGGTGGCGGCCTTTTGCTAGATTTGCGTGTCTCTGGGGACAGGGAGAGGTCCGAGAAATGGCCAGCCAGAGAGCTCAGGCCATCCACAATATTGTTGAGTGACCCATAGGGCGAGGAGCTCTTGGGGAAATTGTTGTTCAAGGCCTGGGAGAGAAAAACAGACCAGGATGGTAATCGCTGGCTGCAGAACCATGCACATTTAAAAGTTGAAAAATATCTTGATATACTAAATCAGGGCTGCAGCCAACAGTTTCTTTGAAGTATTATCATTTGATGAATCTCTTAACTGTATATGTAGTCAGTAAAATGTAAGAAACTGCCATCACAATTTCCCAAAGCCCAAGGTGATGACCTAGTTTTGTCCAACCAACAGTCCAACAACCAAAGATATTCAGTAAAGGAAAGAAAAAGCAGCATATTCGCACATGGGGGTATAGCAAACTCTAGCTATTTTTGCTTGGTTAATGACATCAATGATAACAAAAATAATAGATTAGATGCGGTTGTTCGTCTACATGTCAGCCCTGTGATAGACTGGTGACCTGTCCAGGGTGGACCCCGCCTCTCACCCAGTGTCAGCCTGGATAGGCTCCAGCTTCCCCCATGACCCTATTCAGGAATAAGCGGTATAGATAATGGATGGATGGACAGATTAATTGACATTTTTGCTCTACACAAAAGTATCTCTCATTTCATAAAAGCACAGAGGAACATCGTTGTAAGTCAACGATGAAAGGGCATTTCAGCTGATATGTCAGTCCATCACGCTGACTGATTCCCTATGACAGTAGCAGACATTATTTCATTTCTGCAGATGTACTGTCTTTACTGCATTTACTCTGTGAGCCAGCACTGTCCATTTCCTTGTCAGAACAAAATGCCTTTGTCATGCCCTCTTCCTACTGGTCCTATAGGCATTGTACAATCAGCATCATTGTGTCTCTGGTGGAGATGGATGCTATGGCACCAAGGGGCAAACATGAAGAATTGCACATAGACAGAAAGAGATTTGTAATCAGATGCACATGTGCTGTACAATGCACTGGGTAATGTTCTGCAAGAAACCACTGCATATCTGTGGCATGTGCAGTTACAATCTGAGTTGTTTTATTTATAGTTTATCATTTTAAAGTGTTTATCAGTTAAAATACAGCTGGCTGTGCTTTAAAAAAACTAACTTTATAATGATTTGTATAAGTTTTCCTACTTTTCCTGGATGGGCCAGTTTTATATAATGCAACAACCAGCCCTACTGCTTAAACACTGAATACTAGCACAGTGAACCTTAACATCTTTAAGCTGTGTGAGAGGATTTTCTCAACCTGCCATTCCTCCACCAGCTGCACACTGATACCAGAACGGTCTGAACACACTCAGGCACTATACCAGAGTATAAAACACACATTCATACACTAGGCACTCACCACTGTGCGACCCAGTGAGGGTATGCAGGTAAAGTGTACTGTATGGGTAACAAAAATAAGATGGAGTCTAATATGCCAATATAGTATTCACTGGCTTCTTAGGAGAAAGATTTGTGACATGCAGCAAAAATGTCAATCCGTGGATCAAAGTTTCAAGGAAGCATGAATGTTGTAAACTGTCAAACCGCCGTGCTAAATGTTAATCACTATGAGCGCGTAACATCACAGTAATTCTACCTCAGTCCTCAGATGGAAGAAGTTGTTGAGATGGCTGGAGCTCAGGTCAGCTGCTCTGCGCTTGGAGTTGTTCATGTCCTGAGGCGAAGTGTCCGACTCGGCTGTGCACACGTCAAAAGCGCTGCCCTGAGTGTCTTGCAAAGACATATAGAACCAGTTGAGCAGCTGCGCAGGTCGGTACACAGGGGTACCAGTCTCTATAGCAGACATCATTTTGTTTTTGGAAGGACGCGCCTTTTTGGAACAGCACCGTCAGAACCGCTGGATTTTCTGAATCACCCTATTTCTCCCAGTCATCTCTTTGCTCCTTCTGACTGGGTGCAATCCTTGTGTTCACCTGGGCAGCGCCGATGGACCCCAGTAACCAGACATAGATCTACGAGGAAGGGCGCACTGGAAGCATCAAGCGCAAAAGCGTGAATGCCAGCGGGAAGGTTGAAGCAGCACTTTGACCGGGCTGCGTCACAGCGAATAGGAGGTGGTCCAGTATGAATGTGGGCACTTTGGTTGTGGTGTAAAGTACAGGACTGCGTTATGATGAGCGATACTGATATTTGTGGTGGACAAAATAGCCTACATGAAATACTTCTCAGTATTACTTCTCAACACTTTGCTGTAGGGTATGCTGTAGATGCCAAAATGACAAATTCAATCAACATCTCTCTAAAATAGGTTACTTTAAACAAAAGCTTAACATTGAACTTCATGGAGATAAATTGCATTATTTGTAGATTACGTATTGCCTACTTAATCTGCCAATTTAGTTCAGATTTACTGGCAAAATTAATGTTGAAGTTCGGGTTTATTTAATTGTTATAGGTCTGCTGTTACAATTGGTGCGTGTTTATAGCCTGAATTCCTTAAACTGGTGTAAAATCTAGTTTTTGTTCAGGAAAGCTGTGAAGAGTTTTTTGTTTTTGACTGCAGTGACACTACAAAGTACATTTACACTTCCCTCAGATTGAAGATTTAGCATACATAGCAAAAAAAAGAAGAAAAAATTAAAATAAGATTTAAAATCAGGCAAACCACTCACATCTAACTAAGGATGCCTTCACTGCACTATCAGATTCAAGGGTAAACTGATCAGACTCTGAGGCTACACTGTGCACATTAAGTAATCTGCTGCCATCTGGTGTTTTGTGCTGATAGTGCTGAGTAATTCAGCAATAATTCTCATACTTTGGGAACAAGTGCAAATTTACACATTTGACAAACTGTGGCCTGGTGATTGTGGCTCACGTGTCACTTTATCATAAAGACTATGTTATAGCTCATCTCCCTGCCCTGTTTATCAACATTTACCAATTTTAAATAAATCAATGAAGTGTATGGTTGATAAAAAAATGCCTTTAATAAGTATGGGCTAACATATTACAAATATCAATGAAGTGTATGGTTGATAAAAAAAAATGCCTTTATTAAGTATGGGCTAACATATTACAAATTCTTCATGTAGGTACACTTCCTCAGGATGTCTGGGAACACAATGAATTCAAGCTAATTTCACACACTGACCACAGTATAAAAATAGTTTGTTACAAGTAATGGTCCTGCAGTCAAAATGTTAAAGTACAAAAGCATTAGCATCAAAATACACGAAGATTTCCAAAAGTAAAACCACTAATTATGCATAATGGCACATTTCATATTATATCATATTATTGAATTACAATTACTGATACATTAGTGTGCACATTGCATTTGGAGCTAATTTTAACTAAGTTATGTTAAATGCTTGTAATCTGAAATACTGTTGGGTATCTTGTAAATTTCCAAAGATCAATAAAGATTATTAAATAAATGTTTTGGAGTAAAAGGTACAATATTTGCCTCTAAAATGTAGAACTAATGAAGTCCAGCTATGAAGTTGCAGAAAATAAAAACAGTCAAGTACAGATACCTCGAACTGTACTTACCTACAGTATCTAACCTACTTGAGTAAATATAGCCTGCTTAGTAACTTTCCACTTTTGCGAAATGGCATACAAGCATCCACAATGTTGTCTGCTGACCAAGGAAACGTCTAATTGGCTACGTGTAGACACTATACCAGTGTAACCTGTTGTGAGTCATCAACAGCCAGACTGAGTACAAATCGTAGGTGGGGTAGTAACAGAACAAAAGGTTGTTACCTTAGGATGGAACAATGGTGAGGACCCACCCACTGTCATATAAAAACCCGTTCACCAACTGCCATTATCAACAGAAGAAGACAAAGAAGGAGAGGACAAACTCATATCCAGTCTTCCCTCAGTTCACCTCTGTTCTAGTCCGTGTTTGTCAAGTAAGTTGCTTAAGTATTTTCTTTTAGGTTGTAAATGCTTGAAAAATATGAATCTAGCTCAGCATTACATGGGACTACAAAATCAATGTATTTGCATAAAGTTTGCAGTGTCAAACAGCCAGAAATGAGCAGTTTGACAGTGGCTCAATAGCAACAAACACAGAAGTTTTTTCCTATTTTTAGGTGTAAAACATACTGATACTTTTAATTGTATTATATTCAGCCTATGTAATGTGCTGGTGGTTGAGCAAATTAAACAAATGAAGGAAAGCCTCTGTGTGAGACAGCAGTAGCCATTACTTGTTTGCAGTTTGACAATGTTCTGCACATGGAAGTTGTGATTTTTTTTTTTTTTTGTTCTGTTTTTGTTGTTGTTTGGTTTTCCAGGAACACTCCAGTACAGCAAAGTCCACCCCAATAGTTCCTGTACCACTGACATGGGACAGTTTAGGGGGCAGAATGGTCCAGCAACTACATTTAGTCTTGCATTTCTCAGATAAAAATAAGAGTTCCAAATGTCCTGGGGTCAAAAGGGGGCTATATGATGGCTCTCAAGTGTATATCACAGTAACAAACCACAATGTAATTTCACCTCCAGGTTCTGAAGATGAGTTACCCAGGAATCCCAGGTGGAGCTGGATTTCCATACGGCGCTCGGCCACCTTATGTAAGATGCAATTTTCTCCATTCTAGGACTTTTCTGAAACTATGTGTCAGTGCACACAGATAGAAATGCTTTTATAACCGGATGTGTTGTATTTAATCCTATTTTTATTTCTCATGTCTTTTTTATAGACGGGACAGAGAGGAACTATTAAAGATTGTCCAGGGGCAGATCCTCAGAAGGATGCTGAAGTTCTTCATAAGGCTATGAAGGGTTTGGGTCAGTAAATGCATGAATGTGCTAAACCCATCAAATGTATTGTCATTCAGCATTAGTGAGCAGTTTATTTGCTTATTTTGCTTGTTACGCATCATAGATTGAATCTTAAAACAAAAAAAAAACATTGTACAGGCACCGATGAAAAGGCCATTGTTGAACTTCTGGGGAATCGTTCAAACAAGCAGAGGGCTCCAATTGTAACTGCCTACAAGAAGACTTATGGAAAGGTACATTTTCTCATTTCTTATGTTTAATTTTTACAGATGAACTTGTTTTTGTGTCATGTGACTTGCTCTCACGTTCCTTTTTGTTTTGCATATTTTCCTCTTAGGATTTAATAAAGGAGCTGAAGTCTGAGCTCAACGGACCCCTGGAGAAACTGGTTGTTGCCATGATGATGAGCCCTGCAAACTACGATGCATATTTAGTCAAAGGGGCTATACAGGTGGGTGGGAAGCTACAGCTATTGCCTTAACAGTTGCAATCATGCTTTTTTTTTGGTTTGTATTTTTTAGTCCAAAACACGCTGTGACTTCTATCCCCCTCCCCAGGGTGTAGGAACTGATGACAACTGCCTAAGTGAGATTTTGTGCTCACGCTCCAATGCAGAGATTAACGAAATCAACCAAGTTTACAAAGCTGGTGAGTGCTGATATAGTGTGTGTGTGTGTGTGTGTGTGTGTGTGTAATCTTACCTGTACAACTGCATGCACTTTAAGGTAACATCTGTGTTTATGAAGCTCAAAATGTTTTAGTTTTGTTAAAGATGGTGCCTCACTGGGCTACAATATTTTCAGGTGTCTCTATTTTTGTCCTCCCCAGCTACGTACATGAGAGGGTCACAATATTAGGAACACCTCTGAATATAATGTAGTCCAGTACAACACCACATTTAACTATGACCTCAATAATAAACATATAATTGAATTTATATGTTTATGACAACTACAGAAAAACCTGAAACATTTTGAGCTTCATAAACACAGATGTTGCATTGAAGTGCATGCAACTGTACAGGAGTGACTAAAGTTGCCAGACAGTGTATTATGCAAATGAATGTACATTCCTAAAAAGCCACACCTTCCATCCAGAGCATGGGAAAAGCCTGGAGGACGCCATCAAGAACGACACTTCTGGTGACTTCCGCAATCTTCTGGTTACTCTCTGTCAGGTAGCTGTTGTAAGAAGTCTATTTCACAATGAACGCTTTCAGAAGCTCAAAAGAATTTTGAATTATTAACTCTGCCAGGGTACTCCACCCATGTAATGTGTGTTTAGTACATTCAAATTGTCTTCCTTCATCTAGGCAAGTCGTGATGAAGGGGGGAGTGTTGACACCAACCTGGCCAAACAGGATGCCCAGGTACTGCTTCAAAGTGGCTCTAGTGCTGTAGCATTCTTTAAAAGTAATAGACAAGTCTGATCCTGTTTCTCTTTTTGATGGATGTGTGTGTGTTTAACAGAAACTGTATGCTGCTGGAGAACGTAAATGGGGAACTGATGACGATGAGTTTAACGCTATCCTGTGTGCTCGCAACAAGAATCACCTTCAGGCAGGTGTGTTATTTCAACTTTGTTGTACTTCCACAAAGTTTTTCACAGTGTTTCCCATAAGACATATGTTTTCAAATATTTTAACTATTTTGCTTGTAATTCTTGTCTTCTTTATTCTCCCCAAGTCTTCCAGGAGTACATGAAACTTTCTGGGAAAGACATCGAGAAGAGCATATGCAGTGAAATGCATGGCAATTTGGAGCATGGCATGGTGGCTCTGGGTATGTTCTTTCCTCTTTTCTGAAGCTCAACCAAAGTTAAGCAGCTTTCCAAAAAACATGCTGAAGCTTTAAACAATATCTTGCAGATGCAAACAGTCTGCTGTTTGACCTGAAAAGCAGCTGATGTACTTAAGACTGGACAATTCTGTGTCATTCTAAAATGTTTAGAAATCCTGCACACATTAATGTCGACCTTTTAGTTTTAATCAGCTTTTTAAATAAGTATCCTTATCTTTTTACTTATTAGCTGGTGCATTTGTCTGACTTTGCATATTATTTGTTTACAGTGACTAACATCAATTTCTGCTCCTATTTCCTAGTGAAATGCATCAAGAACATCCCTGCCTTCTTTGCCGAAGTACTCAATAAGGCTATTAAGGTACACGTGTTGTTAATCACATTTTATTCTAATTATTATAGCCACATTTTTCCAGCTAAGATGTTGTGGAGGGACAGAGGAGAATAAATAAATAAAGTGCCATATTGTGATGTGTTGACAGGGTACAGGGACCAGTGATCGGACCCTCATCCGCATCATGGTGTCCCGCTCTGAGATAGACATGCTGGACATCAGACAGGAGTATAAGAAGAACTACGGAAAATCACTGTACACTGACATCGCAGTAAGTCCAACCAGTCGTGCTGTTAAGATACTCACATTTTCAGTCATGTTTATTCTTCTTTATGTGATACATTTGTCTGTGTTTCAGGGTGATACCGGTGGGGACTACGAGAAGCTGCTGCTGAAGCTATGTGGAGGCAATGACTAAAAGGAAAGGAAGACAGCCTCTCATAAGGAAGCTATATATACGGTCACACTGAAGAATGTTATAGTACTTTATATCACCACTATCTGATGCATGCAGCTATTGTAACGCTTCCTGTGACAATAAGAAATCAACGTTAAATTTGCATTCTCTTTTTTTTTTTGCATTACTTTTTTGCTACTGTGTGATTGCCAAATAGTAATCTATACTAATATGAATATAAAAATTCAGTAATTGTTTTATTATTGGGGCAAGAAGAGGGCGCTTGACAATTTTATATTTAACTAAAATCTAACTGTATTGTATGACTGAAGTAACTAATCGTAAATGGTCTTTATAAAGCCCATTGCCTGTTCACACACTGATTATATCACTGGGAGCAACTTGGGGTTTGGTGTCTTGCCCAAAGACACTCTGACCCTACAACTGGTAGATTATACCTGCTCTACCTCCTGAGTCAAGACAGCCCCTCATATAGAGTAGTATTCAAATATAATCTGCTAAACTTAATCTCATTCAGTTTGTAATCCTAATTAAACAAAACCTCATTTGTTTTTTTTGTTTTTTTTACAAAATAAACTAAAGATGTAGAACAATGCAAATTACTAATCTAGGCAATATATGCAGTAAAAGGAATCATAAATAAAAGTTTACCTCACTACATAGATGTAATTTATGGTAGGGACATGTCCTTATCACTTTTCTGACTACCTAAAATTGTCCTCGACACTCTTTTGATATGAATTGCATATGTGTACAATTTTGGCTCTACAAGGGCTTAACTTGCTTTGTCCTGCCAACATTTGGAGTAATGCAATTGCTGAAGTGCATTTTGGATGGGAAAACGGCACAGTGCTCAGTCGGAGAAGAGAGCTCGCTGAAGCGGCTGCCTGTCGCAGGTGCTTTGCCTTTTGTGATTATAATGTTATGGTAACACTATCAAATATGTCATGTTAATTATTCTGAGATATTAAAGACATAGTCAGTTGTCCTGGGCATACACACCAGTCTTGCTAATGTTAGCACTAAAACTAGTTGGGCATTACTGTTATAGTACTATATAGTATAGTATAGTATATATAGTATACTATATAGTAGCTAACATTAACTGTAGTCAGCAAACTAAATGTTGTGACAGGGTGAATTAATGTTACTTTTTGGTGATATTTACTGATTTCTTTTCATGTTGGCATTATACTTGTTGGCCAAACATAAGGATGTTAATTTTTTCAGGATTGTTATTTTACTATTCTGTCTTCGGTTCCTGTGTAGCTACACCCTGGGGTTACTGTAGTTCACAATATTTTCTGATGGCTGGTTGAACTTCCTGCAATATTTTTTCTTAATTCAGCAGTCTGGGTTAGCATCAAGGACACCAGGAATAAACAAATGACAGGTCTTATACTTGTGTAGCGCTTTTCTTCTTTTTAGCACACTCAAAGTGCTTTCACACCTTTCAGCCATTCGCATTCCCACATTCAAACACCATTGATATGACTGAGAGCAACTGAGGGTTCAGTGTCTTGCTCAAGGACACTTTTACATGTGCACTGGAGAAGCTGGGAATCAAAGTGCCATCCTTCCAGTTAGGAGATGACTCGCTCTACCGCCTGAGCCACAATGCACCCTAAATGTAAATAGTATGGATAGAAAAAGGCTGAGTTAGCTCACTTACATGTTGGCAAGTAACATAAGAACATGATTAGTCAGTTAACTTATTATTTGCAAAGTTCACTTCATTTTCCTAACTTGTATAGCAAATTGTTTGTTTCTTTCCTTCTCATTTATTGTCAGGGCCGCTGCCTCTCCTCCACCTTTCTCTCCTCTATTTTCTTGATCTGCGGGATTCTTCACCCCAGCTGTGTTGCACTTGGTAATTGGCGACTCGTTTGTCGGTGCACACAGCTGGGGTGCATCCCGCTGATTAGTTTTCCGCCTTATTTATACCTCGGGCAGAGGCTCCGCCTGGGCTGGATCATTGCGACAGGTAATGGACAAATACCACATGTACCTAGTTTGTACCCACAGTACAGTGGTTTTGTTTTAACCGCGTACCTTTGTTCTCCCTCACCCACCTGGGGAGGGGGGCGTCTCTAACATTTATCCTCTAGGCAGAGAGTGAACAATACATCATAACAGGTTCATTTAGTTAATTTCATAACATATGCAAATGTTTACAGATTATGCTTACAATGAACCATATATATA